TTATACCCAGAAGCGGATTTAGACCCAGAGCTGGTTCTACGGTGAATGTTTTGAGGAGCCGGCGCACCGTTTACCACAGCGGCCGTGCCACTTTACATTGGGACCCCCAGAGCACAGGGTTCCAGAGTTTTCCTGCACGGCCTCGCCGACACTTGTTATTTTGGGGGCGTTTTAAAGAAATATAATAGCCATCCTAAAAGGTGTGGTTTTACGCTTTTTCATTTTTTAAAACCCTCCTATCCGATTACAAAATTCTATCTTTTTGTCCCACATGCAGGGCCCCTAACATACGCTTGAGAGGAAAGTATGAAGGGATGAAGCGGGTCCGAGGGAAAGTGGATTGAGGCGTTTAATGGCCGCTGGCAAATCGTTCCCAGCGTTTTTTTTTACCTTTCCGCTGGCTGGGGAGGACGGCAAAACTTTTCTCACACCCTCGCTAATGTTCGATATTATCAATCTTTTAAAATTTGGGGCAAAAAAGTGATACCTTGAATGAATAGATTTCCAAGGTCGCATCGTCTAGCTAGGTCTTGGGTCCCCGTGGTTTGCCCTTGACAAGGGCAGGAAGCAGTCGGTCACATTGAACAGCTCCCCGCCCCTCTGCTTGGCCACCCTGCCTCCGCCCCCCTTCACTCAGCCCTGCAGATGGGTCCCCTGAGCTGCCCCCCACCCTCCTGCAGATCTGCAGAAGCCTCAGTGAAGGGGCGAGCGCGGTGGCATTTGTAGGTGGGGCCAGCGCGGTGGCATTTGTAGGAGGGGCCAGCAGGGCTGGATCGAGAACTGGGGCCAGGGGAGGGCCATGCTGGCCTGGGAGAAAGAGTGAGGACCTGGGGTGACAGCTGCCCAAGGCCAGTGCCATGGCGGGAACTTGGGAGCTAAGGTCAGCTCCGCCGGGCGGAGTGACTGGCAGAAGCCTCTGGCCAGGCCTGTGCTGGCTCGGTGTCCTGGCCGGGCCTGTGCTGGCTCGGTGTCCCTTCCAGAAGGGGAAGCGTGACCTCTGCCATCATCGTCTCCCTACCTGAGAAGTCTGGAGTCTTGTCCTACACAGCTGGATGAGTGCTGCTTTGGGGTGCGAGGGGACAGTTACTCGAATGTGCGTGACAACACAAGGGGACAGTTACTCAAATGTGCGTGACAACACGAAATCATGGCAAAGGACGCCATCCACGCTGAGATCTCGAACTTCTCAGAGAAGACGAAATGTGACAAGGCACGCGGCCTCGCAACGTCATCGCCCCACAAAAGGTGCCGGGTGGACCCCGCAGGACACGCTGGTCTCGGGCGGGAGCCACGCCCCGCCTGGCACTTGCGGGGTGTCCGTCGGAATGTGTGACCCTCGGCCCGATCTGCCTTCTCAGGCCGCCTGCTAGCGACGCCCTGTCCTGGCGCAGCATTTTTTCAAAACCTGATTTGGTTCAGGCTTTTAAGAAAAAATGAAAACAAAACAAACACCACCCCCCGCCGTGAGGGAACGAGACGTCTTCCCAGGCTCTGGAGCGGAGCGAGGGCTGCGGCCACGTTGCCCCTGGTGACGACGACACACTTTGGGGTGGCGGCTCCTCTGGGCCTTCGTCTCCCTGTGCATAGGCTGCGTGGGAAAAGGTCAAGGTCATTTGCGGCCGCACGTCCTGGGAGGCCAGCGCCACACATCGCGGCCTCTCTCTCTCTCTCACTGCTCAGTGCCCTGGCGGGCATCACGGAGGGAAGATGAAGGCGTCTGAGTTGTGGGGGTCACGGGGCCTCAGCTTGGGGACAGATCATCTGATGGCCGAGGAAGGTGGCCGCTGGGTCCCGAGGGCCCGGTCTGCTGAGGACTGCTCGGGACCCTGGAGCCGGGAGCACACGTCTCGGCTTCCAGCCCCCACCCAGCTCTCCAAAGGGCCGGTGGCCTCTCAGGTCTTCGTGTCATCTGTGAAAGGGAGGAGGACAGGAGGTTGGGGACACAGCTTTCTGAGAGGCTTCCTTGGGCCCAGTTCCAGTTTCTGTTGCTCTGTCACAAGCCACCCCCAAACTCAGCAGCATACGGCAATGTTCCCCTACTTTCGGTTCTGTGGGCCCCGAATTTGGATGGGGCACAGCAGGCTGGCGGCTTCTATCCCGTGAAGTCTGAGGCCTCAGGTGATGGCCGAGGGTGACCAAACATCCTGAATCATCAGCGGGCACTTCTCCTCCATGATGCTGCTGTGACCTCACTGGGCCTGCGGTCGGAGCACCCACGCCTGGCATCTCTAGGTGCCTTGAGCTCCCTCACAGCATGGCGGCCTCATCAGAGTCAGACTTCTGACCTGGTGGCCCGGAGCTCCCCAGGGGGGCGCCCTGCTTCTCCGCCTTTTCTGCGGAGGTCACAGGGCACTGTCCCACCGCGTGGCACTGTCCCACCACGTCCCACTGACTACGAGCAAGTCCCGGACCCCAGGGAGGGGCTCGGGCCCCCCACCTCTTGATGGGAGGCTGGTCGTAGTGAAGCTCATGGGACGGTGCGGGCTGTCGGGGCCACGTCCAGAAAACACGGCGGGCTCTCCGCTCGCTGGCTCCTCGCTCCCCATCCCACCCCAGCCGCCGGCCGCAGGGACAGCCCTAGCCAGGCCTCTGCAAGGCCTTCGTCCCTTCCCGACCACGTGGGGTGGGTCTTGAACGCGCCGGGAGCGAGCTCGCCCGCACGACCCCCGCCCCCTCACTGCGGCTGGGCTGACGAGGCACGGTCAGGGCTGAGTAGAGCTCAGGGGCCATTTGACCTCGTGAGGACCCCACACTGCCTGGGTCCCTCAGTTTCCGCGGCCATTCGGCCGTTCGTGTGGCTTTGGGTCCGTGTTTCTTGGCTCTCGACCTGTGGGTCTGGAAGGAGTGACACCAAGCAGAGCCTCGCCCTGGAGCCGGGCAGCCTGGGCCCAGAGGTTCCTCTGTGGATGTCCCCCAGCGCCCCCAACCCCGTGGCCGTGGCTCTGGGTCTTGGGATAGACCCCTCCAGTGGCCGCGCCGGGCCCCATTCACATAGCGGGGCAGTCTGTGCCCTGTGGATCGGGGTGTGTGGGGCTGAGGTGACCTGCAGCTGTGCTCCCTGGGGTCTGGTGGCCGAGCAGCCGAGACGCTGGCCGAGAGCAGGTTGGGCGCCGGTAGGTCCCAGCCTGGAGGTCGGGGCGTGGGGGGCCTTCGTGCTTCTGGGCGTGACTCTGCCGAGCGACTCTCAGGGGGAGGGTCGTCTCCAGATTGCCACGTCCCCGCCCCTCAGACTCGCACGACCCCGGAGTGGACACACTCAGACCTGTGCCGGGCCACGTGCAAGTGACCGAAGCGTGTGTGCACGCACACACACACACTGTCCACGCATGCACACACACACGATGCACACGCACACACTGTCCACACATGCACACACGATATACATGCATGCACTGTCCGTGCATGCACACTCATGATACACACGCATGCACTGTGCGCACACACATACACACGATACGCACGCAGTACTCTACACGCATGCACACACACCACACAACACACACACACACTGTGCGCACATGCACACACACCGCGCACCCACACGATACACACGCACACACTGTACACACATGCACGCACAACACACTAAGCTATGCATGCACACCCACACCCAGACACGCCACACACATGCATACATACACCACCCCATGGGCGTGCACGCACACACGCACACACACACACACAGAGCAAACCTCACAAGTCTGTGACACGTGCAGAAGAGCCGAGTGACACTCTTAAACAACTCAATCACACAGGGACTGCAAGAAGTCGATGAGAGAGACCTCGGAAGTCCGGAGGGGACGAGCTGCACCCCTGGCGGCCGGCCCCCCAGGCACGCCTGGCCCTCTTGAGCCTCTGCCAGCCCCGGGGCGTCTGTGTTTACAGACGTCCACACGCGGTCACAGAGGGCTCCTTCTTCTCCACATGCGATCCTACTTGGGAATACTTGGTAGAGTCAACTCATGGAGCCCACAGACGCCTCTCGGGCGGCAGGCCTGGAGCGGGGCGCCCCCTGGCGGCGGGTGCGAGAACTGCTCTTGGGGACATGGTGTGATTCTGGGGTTCGGGGTGGGGTGCTGCTCTGAGGAATGCGGGTGGGGAGGCCCGCACCCATCCCTTTCCTCCCCTGCGGTCCGGGGAGGGGTGGGGCCTGCCTGGGGCCTTAACCGCGGCTGCCACCACCGCCTTCTGGGGCCACACTGAGGAGCGCCACACTGGCTGGGGTACCAAGGAAGCCTCTGCACCCCAACCCCTTATCCCCCTGGCTCAGAGTCCACCCGCCTGTCTCCCTCTAACCTCAGAGGACGAGGAGGGGGACGTCCCAGCGTGACTTTGGACCACTGGAAATCCTCTTCAGAGCCTTGTTGCCTGACGACCTGGGCCCCTCAGCTCTGGTCCCTGTGATGGGGACAGCCACATGCGGGAGCTGAGGAGGTGCAGGCCCACGGGTCCGGTCTCCCCGCTGGACTGAGCAGAAGTGGACAGGGGACAGGCGAGCCCCCCACCAGGGGCCGACAGCCCTGGGCCCTGATCGTCCAATGTGAGGAAAGGTGTGTGTGTGTGGCGGGGTGGTGGTGGGGGGTGAGTGTGGGTGACATGCTCTGGTCTGTGACTGTCACCCAAGAAGCGTCAACAGGAAAGGCTCGGAGGCCTCTAGCTGGCACCTGGTCCACGCCAGGAGCCCGGAGGGCGAGGGAAGGGCTGTGACATCCTCCCAGAGCCCCGGGCCTTGGGCGGGGGCGTCTGTGAAGCAGGGCCGAGGGCTGCGGCCTGGGTGACGGCCCCAAGGATGACCCAGACCACGGAGGGCGAAGCGGAAATTTATTCCATTCGCGTGTCCATCCTCATTCCTTCTTTCCTTTCTCTCAGCGCGTGTCCCCAGCGTTAGGGGCTCCCCGAGATTCTCACCATCTTCTCGCGACAGCCTGCGTTTACTGTTGCGTGTGCTACACCCGAACCCCGTTCTCAGGCGAAGGTGTGAGTAAAACGTCACTCTGATATTTCAGGAAAAACAGGAGTTTATTTTTGAAGTTGGGGTCACGTGTGTCTCCCGAGTGGTTCTCAGACGGGACTCGTGCCTCCCCTGGGCAGGGGTGAGAATGGGGGTGACTGGGGAGGGCGGCGAGGGAGTCGTGGCCCCAGCTCTTGGTCCTGCACTGACGCTGACGGAGTAAGGACCATCACTGCCATTTTACTACCCAGGGCCATAGAGGGGGCGTCGCTAGCTCAGGGTCGAGGGTTCAAACCGGCAGGACATCAAAGCTGGCCTTTGGGTGACGAGGATGCCACTCTGGACCGCTTTGTGGCTGGGTTGCCCCAGGGAGCATAACCGCAGCCATGCCAATGACCTTCTGAGAAACGTGTCATTAGGCGATTTCGTCGTGTGCGGGCATCACAGGGCACACGCTCACACACACCTGGATGGTGCAGCCTGTCACACGCCACACGCCTGGGCCGCATGGCACAGCCCGCCACTCCTGGGGTACAAGCCTGTGCAGCCACTGTACTGGATACCGTAGGCCAAGGCACGTGCTTCCTGGGGTTCAGGGGAGAAGTCCCCCGTGGCCTGGCTCAGCCTCATAGAGAGGCCTGTTTACAGTGCGAGCAGAGGAGGTACGCAGTGAAGGGCCCGGCCCCGCATGCGGCCCTCAGGCCCCCTCGCCGGGGGACCCTCAGGCCCCCTGGGGATGTTTCTGCTGTGCACATAAAGCTCCTCGCGAGCTTTACGGCGTCTTTTTACGCAGATAGGAGCTGTCCGCCCCGCACTGAGGTCGCTTTTAGAACACCTTGGAGGGCACTGCGGACCTGCCCCGTCCCCGAAAGGCCACTGAGTGTGGTGTCGCTGCACACGGGGCTCCCCACCGGTGGATGCGGAGGTCGTCTCTGGCTGGGGGTCATCGTAAGTGACGCTGCATCGACGTCCTTGTCCTGAGTCGTTCTGCACTGCTGCCCTAGCACTCAGCTGGCAGGTGACGTGGACAGCAGGTCTGGGCCGGGGCGGGGGGCAGGGGGGACGGGATCCTGTTTGCATCTGGAGTTGACTGGGAGCTGTGGGTGCTGGGATGATCACCAAAGCCCCGCTGAGGGCCCGGCGATGTGGGCGGGGGGCACTGACCCTCGGCCGCCCCGGGGTTGATGCCCGGGCCGGTAAAGGGAAACAGGAGGGTGACAGCAGCCACCTGTGCCCACGGAACCTGCCATGGGGCAGCTCGCTGGGGTCGCCCGGCCACGCCGGCCAGTGGATGGGGCCGGGGGCACAGAGCCTGCGCTTTATTCCAGTGCTCGGCGGACGGGGGCTGGGACTTCATCCGGAGCGCCTGTTTATTTTCGGATAAAAGGAGTCGCATCCGCCTGCACGCCCCGGCAAACCCGGGGTCTGATTTCTGTCATTTAATTTGAGAAGAACGTGCACTGGAGCGTGATCTCAGGCCTCCTTCCGTTCCGGGTCAGGCCGCCTCCGACGGCGACTCTCGGTGACCGCGCGGGCACAGTTCGGAGACGTCCTTGCCGCGGCTCCTGTGAGTCCCCAGTTAACAGTGTCACTTCTTCTCTGCTGCACACGTGTGTGCGCGTCATCTGGTGTGAGCCGCGCAGGGTGTGATTTCGCAGCCAGAGGCCTGACCGCTGACATGTTGCTGGACTCCTTAAAGGGACAGACGATTATTACGCGCAGACAAACGGCTCGTGCTCGGCTGCGTCCGAGTTTATTTTACAAAGCTATAAACACCAGACCCTTTTCTAAGTCCCGCTGGTCGGGTGTCTCCTTCCTTTCGTCGGCGGAAGGAGAACGTAAAGGCTGAGTCAGGGCTCTCGGCCCCGGCTGCTCCCGGCTCCCGGCTACGTGGCTTAAAGGGGCCCATTCATTCCCCAGACCGGCCACGCTCCTCGCCCAGGGCCCTTCTGGGCGTTTCTCACACACAGACTCTCCCGAGCTGGAGACATACGATCTCGGCTTCCCCGAGCAGGGCCCCGGGAGCTCAGGAGCTTGTGAACTGCGCTGAGAACTTGGGGGCCACCCGGGGAAGGGGTATGAGCTGCCGGCCTCCTCCGGCTCCGTCCCAAAGGGCTTCCCAACTGAGAGCCTCTAGTGTAATTCCATCCCAGACCCGGGGAGGAGGTGGGCGGGCCCAGCCCCCTCCTCTGCCCCTGGAAGTGGATGAAGGAGGCAGGAGGAGTGTCTCGTCAGTCAGCCCCACCATCTTCCCTTGGGCTGTAAAACCAGCAGTGGAGTGGGGGTATCCAGGTAACCGGAGAACCCCCAAACCACTGCCAGCACTTCCTAGCAGCACGTGGTTCATGGGAGAATCCAGTCCAACTTCTGGGTCCTCGGAGGGCTGCAGGCTGCAGGGGGAGGGGTCCGGCCACTGGCCCCGGCCGGCCAGGCCCAAGTGACGGTCATTGCACAGAGCTACCTTTTCTTGCGCGTGCAAGCCTCCAGCCGGCCCAGCTCCTCGTAGGACTGGTAGAAAACGTCAAACTCCTTGGTGCCCCAGCCCCTCCAGACAGCCAGGCACCACTCCATGTTTTCATTCTCAAAGCCACAGACAACCGTGTCCTTGGCCACCACAGCTGCGTCCATGAGTACCCTGCAGAGAGACGGCGGGTGTCTGAGATAACGGGCAGGGGCCCCCCACCTGGCCGGGGCCGGGACCCTTGGCCTGCGCCTTCCCAGGGGGACAGAGCCTGCTGAAGGGGGGCAAGGGGGGCATCTGTGCATCTCAGCCTGGCCCCACCCACCCACGTGCTCTGCTGCCGCTTCTCCTCGGTGGTCCGGGGGTCCAGCCTGTGGGCGGCGGCTTTCTAATATCTAAAGAAGGGTCAAGGGCATTGGTCCAAGCTCACGGGGATCGTCGGTAAGGGACTGACTTCCTGGAAGGACGCTGATGCGATCGCAGCGGGTACCTCTGTAACGTGTCTCTGACTCTCAGGTGTCCAGAGAATACCATGGACTCTAATGCGTGCTCGTCGAGGGCCCGTGATCAACTTTAACTTTCCCTCAAGTCCCTCGCCTCGTGCACGACTGCTTCCCGTTCCGCTCCCTACAGCCAGTCAGTGCGCCTGGCTCTTGGAAAACCTACTTTTGGGGGCTAAATGGGGAAAAGGACACCAGGGGGAAACCGAGGGACGGCGACAGCGGGTTCTCTGGGGTCGAGAGCCCTGGGCTCCACAGACCCCCCTGTTCCCCGGGGAGCGAGACCTGCGACCTGCAAGCACCTCAAGCCCAAGTCCGGCACCTGCCTCAGCATCGAACCCAGATCTTTTCTCTAGAATCGCAGGACAAAGGTCGCTGGTCCTGGTGAATCACCCAGAGAGGGCCATGCTGGGGACAAGGGAGGGGACTGCCATGGGCGTCTCCTTGGTCACTGCCCTGCTCTGAGGGAAGAGGGCCAAATGGGGCTTCTCCATAAGGGAGAGTAACCAGGGGGGTTCGGTGAGGGGTGCAAACATGTCTGCTGTGGGAGCACTGGCGAAGCCACCCTCCCAGCCCCACAGGCTGCCCTGCCCAGCATGACCCTCGCAGTGGGCCTGGCCTCTGTCCTCGTAGGACCCTGCAGGTGGGTACGGAGCCGGGGCGGCGGGACACCTCGGGAAGGGCCCTCCTGCTTGGTGGGAAGGGCAGTGAGCCACCTGGACCCCCATTTCAATTGCAGCTCATCTCAGGCCCTGGGGTCGCAACCCAGGCAGGGCACTTGGTCCTGGGGTGCACTGGGTTCCCCAGAAAGAGGCGTGGCGACCGGCGGCGAACGCCCAGGTCAGCGGGTACCTGCTGGTCCCCCAGGAGCCGCCTGGAGCATGTCGCCTCGCTCCCTGTCTGCCTTATGGCGACGCTGGTGGGTGCGCTCGTGTGTCGGGGCGCAGGCGGCCACCGTGCAGGACCGGGCGCCGTGGGGCC